GTTACTGTTGCCGTTACTGTTGCTGTTATTGTTGTATCATGTTACTGTTACTTTACTGTTGTTCCAATAGGCCCAACCTGAGCTGATTAAACCATTGAAATTTGGGGCTTATTCGTAATAGGTCCCAATTTTAATAGTGGTGTTCAGTGAAATTGGGGCCCACTAGAACTGGGGTCTATTAGGACTGGGGTCTATTGGGACTGGGGTCTATTAGAACTGGGGTCTACTAGGACTGGGGTCTATTAGAACTGGGGTCTATTAGGACTGGGGTCTATTGGGACTGGGGTCTATTAGGACTGGGGTCTATTAGAACTGGGCTCATTAGAACTGGGGTCCATTAGAACTGGGGTCTATTAGAACTGGGGTCTATTAGAACTGGGGTCTACTAGACTGAGTCTATTGTATGGGTCTGGACTGGGGTCTACTAGAACTGGGCCCTTAGGACTGGGTCTGTGGGACTGGGGTCTATTAGAACTGGGGCCATAGGACTGGGGTCTATTGGACTGGGGTCTATTAGAACTGGGGTCTATTGGACTGGGGTCTATTAGAACTGGGGTCTATTAGACTGGGGCCCATAGAACTGGGCCCATAGAACTGGGGTCTATTAGGATTGGGGTCTATTAGAACTGGGGTCTATTAGACTGGGGTCTATTAGGACTGGGGCCATTAGAACTGGGGTCTGTTAGGACTGGGGTCTATTAGGACTGGGGGTCTATTAGAACTGGGGTCTAGGACTGGGGTCTATTAGGAACTGGGGTCTATTAGAACTGGGTCTATTAGGACTGGGGTCTATTAGGACTGGGGTCTATTAGGACTGGGGTCTATTAGAACTGGGGTCTATTAGGACTGGGGTCTATTAGACTGGGGTCTAGAATCTTAGAACTGGGGTCCATTAGGACTGGGGTCTATTAGAACTGGGGTCTATTAGAACTGGGGGTCTATTAGACTGGGGTCTATTAGAACTGGGGTCTATTAGAACTGGGGTCTACTAGAACTGGGGTCTATTAGGACTGGGGTCTATTAGAACTGGGGTCTATTAGGACTGGGGTCTATAAGGAATAAGGTATTTCTCCAATAAATAATCTCTCTCTCTCTCTCTCTCTCTCTCTCTCCTCACACCATACACACGTTACACGTTTTATATGACACCTCAAACTTTATACAGTATAGCTCTGATGACTGTGTGTGTGTGTGTGCAACATTCTCTGTCTGTCTGTCTGCATCTCTCTCTCCCCCATCTATTTACATGGCAGGTTGGGTGGCAAGTTAGGTGATGGGGGTGGTTAGCAAGGTAAGGTGGGTGGCAGGGTGGTAGTGGAGGGGTGGTGGTGATGGCAGGGTGCTGGTGGTGATGGCAGGGTGTTGGTTGGTGATGGCAGGATGATGATGGCAGGATATAGCGTGGCAGGAGGCAGGGTAAAACACACACGCACACACACACACACACACGCACACACACACACACACGCACACACACACACACACACACACACATATGCTGGTCAAGTCACTTCTGGTGCGGTTAATTGCCCGAACTGGTAACTTTGTGTGGGACAGTCAGTTCGTGTTGCCAATTACTAAATAACAATTTTATTCTGCGTCCTGACAAGCCTTTTGTTTGTGGTTGTTGTGGTTAGTGGTTGTTGTGGTTAGTGGTTGTTTGTGGTTAGTGGTTGTTTGTGGTTAGTGGTTGTTAGTGGTTAGTGGTTGTTAGTGGTTAGTGGTTGTTTGTGGTTAGTGGTTGTTTGTGGTTAGTGATTTCTTTCTTCTTCTTCTTTCTCTTCTTCCTCCATCTTTCCTCTTCTTCCCTCCTCCTTCCTCTCCCTTCCTCCTCCTCTCCTCCCATCATCACTATTTTTATCCTTCTACCAGTGTTTATTCACCTCTCTACCCTATTATCATTCATATTTCTCCATTATTCAAACTTTATTTCTATTTATGCATTGTTTCTTTCTTTTCTTTCTTTCTTTTCTTTTTCTTTCTTTCTTTCTTTCTTCTTTTTAAATCTTCCCCAATTCTATTTTTATCAGTATTTATGACTTACCATCATCTTTATTGTCTTGTCTTCTCCCTTATCGTACTCTTGTGGGATCTCATTTTATTGCTAGACGTAGGTTATGTTTTGCTAGGTTAGGTTAGGTTGGTGGTGGAGGTGGGTTGGGAGTTGGGGTTGGGTGGTTTGTTGGTAGAGGTTTTGAGGTTTGAGGTTAGGTTTGTAGGTTTTGTAGGTTTTGAGGTTTGAGGTTAGGTTTGGTTAGGTTAGGTTAGGTTGGTTGTTCCCTCTTTATCTACGATTCTGTTTTAAACTCTTAATTATCTTGTCTTATCATTTAGTTTCCATAATTATCACTTGTTCATGTCCCTCTTGTCTTCCTCTCTCCCCTCTCAATTTATAAGTTTTTCCCTCTCCTCTCCCTCTCCTCTCCCTCTTTTTTCCCTACTTTACTCTCCCCTCACACCTCTCAACTCTTGTATTATTTATCTGGTTATTATTCGTTATCTCGTTATTCTTCTTTCTTTCTTTATCTCCATCAACTCCTCTCCTTCCTTCCTTCCCTCCCTCCCTCCTTCCTTCCCTCCCTCCTCCCTTCCTCTTCCCTCCCTCCTTCCTTCTCTCCCTTCTCTCCCTACCCTCCCTCCTTCCTTCTCTCTCTCCTTCTCCCTCCCTCCTTCCTTCCCTCCCTCTCTCCCTACCCTCCTCCTTCCTTCCCTCCTCTCTCTCCCTCTCCCTCCTTCCTTCCTCCTCTCCTTTTTTTCTCCCTACCCTCCCTCCTTCTTCCCTTCTCTCTCCTCCTCCTTCCTTCTCTCCTCTCTCCCTCCTCCTCCTTCCTTCTTCCCTCTCTCCTCCCTCTCCTCCTCCTTCCTTCCTCCTCTCTCCCTTCCCTCCTCCTTCCTTCCTCCCTCTCTCCCACCCTCCTCCTTCCTTCCCTCCTCCTTCCTTCTTCTCCCTTTCCCTCCCTCCTTCCTTTCTTCTCTTCCCTCACCCTCCTCCTTCCTTCTCTCCCTTCTCCCTCCTCCTCCTTCCTTTTCTCCCTCTCTCCTACCCTCCTCCTTCCTTCTTCCTCTCTCCTACCCTCCTTCCTTCCTCCCTTCTTCCCTCCCTCCTCCTTCTTCTCTCCTCTCTCCTACCCTCCCTCCTTCCTCCCTCTCTCCCCTACCCTCCCTCCTTCCTTCCTCCCTCCTTCCTTCTCTCCCTCTCTCCCTACCCTCCTCCTTCCTTCTTCCCTTCTCTTCCCTCTCCCTCCTCCTTCCTTCTCCTTCTCCCTACCCTCCTCCTTCCTTCTTCCCTCTCTCCCTACCCTCCCTGCCACCCCGTGTGTTATGACAAGGGCGAACACGTTTTGAAAGGTCTGTTTTATGAAGGAAGGTGAGGAGGATAAATATTGTTGCTCTAATTCATTCCACTTATTGTCGCTTCCTTTTCCTTCCTTCATTCATTTCTTTCTTTCTTTCGCCTGTCCTCTTGTGATCCACACCACCCTATCCCCCACTACCTGCATGGTTAGGTTAGGTTAGGTTGGGTTAGGTTGTTAGGTTAGGTTAGGTTAGGTTAGGTTAGGCTTCTACCTGTATGTTAGTTTAAGCATGAGAGAGAGTGTATGGCAGTGAAAATACATTCAATCTCCCAGAGTGTATGAGGGTGTAGGGAGGGTGTATGGAGGGTGTAGAAGGGTGTAGAAGGTGTAGGAGGGTGTAGGAGGTGTAGAGGTGAGAGTGGGTGTAGAGGTGTAGGGAGGGTGTAGGAGAGTGTAGGAGGTGTAGGAGGGTGTAGGAGTGGGTGTGGAGTGGGTGTAGGAGGGTGTGGGGGAGGGTGTGGGGTGTAGGAGTGGTGGGAGGTGTAGGAGGTGTGGAGTGGGTGTAGGGAGAGTGTAGGAGGGTGTAGGGGTGTAGGAGGTGTAGAGTGGGTGTAGGAGAGTGTAGGGGGTGTGGGGGTGTGGTGGGTGTGGGGTGGTGGGTGGTGGGAGGGTGTAGAGGTGTAGAGGGTGTAGGGAGGGTGTGTGGGAGGGTGTAGAAGGGTGTAGGAGAGTGTAGGAGGGGTAGGAGAGTGTAGGAGGTAGGAGGGTGTGGAAGGGGGTGTAGGAGGTGTGAGTGGGGTGTAGGGAGAGTGTAGAAGGGTGTAGGGGGTGTAGAGGGTGTAGAGAGTGTAGGAGGTGTAGGGGGTGTAGGAGGTGTAGGGGTGTATGAGGGTGTAGGTAGTATACGGAGGGTCTAAGGACCACAATATCAGCTGACCTTCGTATCTCAGGTAGAGAGGTTTTTAATGGCGTCCTGACAGTTATCTGTTTTACTGATATGCTGAGTGGAGGTGAGGGGGTGTATAGGTGATGGAAGGTGTAAAGGGGAGGTGTGAGGTGTAGAGTTGGGGAGGGGGGTGGAAGGAGGTGGAGGGAAGGGAAGGATTTAGGGAGGGGGAAGAGGAGGGAGGGGAGGGAGGGAGGTCACTATCTCTTAACTTCTGCACCCCTCTTCTTGTTCCTCTTCTTCTTGTTCCTCTTCCTCTTCTTCTTCTTCTCCTCACTGGTGTATAATCTATGAAGGAAGAGTCACGAAAAAAACACTATCTTGGTCCCTGACGAAAACATGCTAATATTTATGATGGCGATGACCTCCTCCTCCTCCTCCTCCTCCTCCTCCTCCTCGTTCTTCTTCTTCGTCTTCTCGCTATTATTAACGTCTCCTTATGTCTCTTGCCCGTTGTTTTTTTTTTAATCTTTCATCTCTTATTTCTGTTCTTTAGTTAGGTTAGTTAGGTTAGGTTAGGTTAGGTTTATACCTGCCACATAGACTCACCTTGACACTCCCAGGGATGACAGAGATCAAGGTCACCTCTCTGGTGTGGGATGACCTGACGCCTCTCCACAGTGCAACCTGGATGTTCCCATATATTGTTTGTGTAATTCAGTGTTGTTAGCGGGTTAGTTTTGGGTTAATTAATAGTTATGGTGTAAATACTGTGTGTGTGTGTGTGTGTGTTTGGTCATGTACACAGTCTCTCTTGTTCAGTTGTTTTGTATTGAGTCGCCGCCTGTGACCAACACTGCCCCTCCCTCCCCCGCTGACGTAAAACACCGCACAAATGAGGGTGACGGAGGTGGCCAGATCCTGACTGGTGAGGGTGACGGAAGTGGCCAGATCCTGACTGGTGAGGGTGACGGAGGTGGCAGATCCTGACTGGTGAGGGTGACGGAGGTGGCCAGATCCTGACTGGTGAGGGTGACGGAGGTGGCCAGATCCTGACTGGTGAGGGTGACGGAGGTGGCCAGATCCTGACTGTGAGGGTGACGGAGGCCAGATCCGACTGGTGAGGTGACGGAGGTGGCCAGATCCTGTGGGGACGGAGTGCGATCTGGGGAGTGCTGACTGGTGGGACAGGTGGCCAGATCCTGACTGGTGAGGGAGGGTGGGGGTGAGGTGGCCAGATCCTGACTGGTGAGGGTGACGGAGGTGGCAGATCCTGCTGTGAGGGTGAGGAGGGGCATCTGACTGGTGAGGGAGGTGGCGATCCTGACTGGTGAGGGTGACGGAGGTGGCCAGATCCTGACTGATGAGGGTGACGGAGGTGGCCAGATCCTGACTGGTGAGGTGACGGAGGTGGCCAGATCCTGACTGGTGAGGGTGACGGAGGTGGCCAGATCCTGACTGGTGAGGGTGACGGAGGTGGCCAGATCCTGACTGGTGAGGGTGACGGAGGTGGCCAGATCCTGACTGGTGATGGTGACGGAGGCAGATCCTGACTGGTGAGGGTGACGGAGGTGGCCAGATCCTGACTGGTGAGGGTGACGGAGGTGGCCAGATCCTGACTGGTGAGGGTGACGGAGGTGGCGATCCTACTGGGGGTGACGAGGTGGCCAGATCCTGACTGATGAGGGTGACGGAGGTGGCCAGATCCTGACTGGTGAGGGTGACGGAGGTGGCCAGATCCTGACTGGTGAGGGTGACGGAGGTGGCCATTAAGGTGTATTCTGTGGTCTCATTCTATGCTGGACGCGACCATCTCCAGTTAACGAGCCCCACCCCCTCTCTCTCTCTCTCTCTCTTCTCTCTTCTCTCTCTCTCTCTGGCTAGTTTTTCTTTTGCATCTCCCGAGGTTTACTTCAAGTGAAATGAGGAGACAAATTGAAAGCTGAAAAAGAAAGCGATGAGAGAAACGAGAGAGAGAGAGAGAGAGAGAGAGAATTCATGTGAGGTAATATTTTAAAGTTATTTTTCATACATATAAGAATCGGGACAGCATTTCTGCAGCCCCGTACAGCAGTGAAGCCCTGTGCAGCATTGAAGCCCCGTGCAGCATTGAAGCCCCGTGCAGCATTGAAGCATTAAACAGCAAAACAATCCAGACCGTCAGTGTAATCCTTAACAGCAGTGCAGCTCTGAATCTCACTGAAGGCCTGAACAGCACTGCAGCACCAAAGGAGAGCTGCAGCACTAAACAGCAATGCAGCAGGGAGCAGAAAAAGCGGTCTTAGTTAACGGGGAACCTATCTCAATGGTTCTTATGAGAGAGAGAGCACATACATACATACAGTACAAACCCACATACATACATACATACATACATACATACATACATACATACATACATTCATTCATACATACATACATACATACATACATACATACATACATACAGTACAAACACATACATACATACACAGACGCATACAGTACATACATACATACATACATACATACATACATACACACACCCGCCATTAGCTTATAAAGGGCTCTCATTTGTTCACTTATACCGGTTTAAAATATCCTATTGTTAATATTTCCAAATTGGCATAAAAGTAACCCGGATACAGTGTTTTGTTTTTCACTGATAAAAGAGCAGGGTGTGTGTGTGTGTGTGTGTGTCCGTGTATATGTGTGTGTGTGTGTGTGTCCGTGTGTGTGTGCGTGTGAGTGTGCGCGTGTGTTTGTATGTGTGCGTGTGTGTATACCAATGTTTTAAAACTTCAGCTGTAACAGATGCACACATACAGACATAAATAATGATAATGGTTGCCCCTCGTGTAACGAGGATGGCCGGCCCAAGGGCCACCTAAATGTGAATTTGTTTAAGGTGTAGAAGCTGTCGCCAACACAACAACCACACCCTGAGTTAACGAGCTGCATGACCCAGTGTCAAGGAATAGTCCGAGAAGACCGGACAACTCGCCAACTGCACTGGCTAACCATTACCCCGGAACACCATCCGCAAATCGATTAACAACCAGGTCCCCAATTACTGCTGGGTAGACCGAGGCAAATGGCGTAAAGAAACTTGCCCATAGTTTCACCCCGCCCGGGAATCGAACCCGGGTTCCTCGCTTGCGAGGCGAGCATGCTGACCATTACATCACAGGTCACACACACACACACACACAAACACACATACATATGTAAATACATATATAGACATACACAGTTAATTAGTAGAGAAAAATACACAGCAAGAAACCGTATGAGTTGGGGTTATGTTATGTTATGTTATGTGAGGTTATGTTATGTTATGTTATGTTATGTTATGTTATGTTATGTTATGTGAGGTTATGTTATGTTATGTTATGTTATGTGAGGTTCCATTGCAAAAATAATATGATGCAAAGAATGACTTACAGCCACACAAAGACCTATGTTGAGGGCTGAGGTAGTAGGTGGGTGTGTGGAGTTAGTCGTGCTCACTTCTTTTTACTCTTGCCCTTTTTTCCCTTTTTGCCTTTTTTGCCCTTTTTTCCCTTTTTGCCTTTTTTGCCTTTTTTGCCCTTTTTGCCTTTCTTCTTTTTGTCTTTCTTCTTTTTGTCTTTCTTCTTTTTGCCTTTCTTTTTGCCTTCTTCTTTTTTGTCTTTCTTCTTTTGTCTTTTCTTCTTTTTGTCTTTCTTCTTTTTGTCTTTCTTCTTTTTTGTCTTTCTTCTTTTGTCTTTCTTCTTTTTGCCTTTTCCGACCTTTTTGCCTTTCTTCTTTTTGTCTTCCTTCTTTCTGCCTATTCCCCATTTTCTCTTTTTGCCTTTCTTCTTTTTGCCTTTTTCGACCTTTTTGTCTTCCCTCTTTTGTTTTTCGTCTTTTTGTCTTTTTCGACCTTTTTGCCTCTCTTCTTTTTGTCTTCCTTCTTTCTGCCTATTCCCCATTTTCTCTTTTTGCCTTTCTTCTTTTTGCCTTTCTTCTTTCTGCCTATTCCCCATTTTCTCTTTTTGCCTTTCTTCTTTTTTGTCTTTCTTCTTTTGCCTTTCTTCTTTCTGCCTATTCCCCATTTTCTCTTTTTCCCCTTTCTCCGTTTCCCTCTACCTTTGAGTGCTTTTAATGTTTTATTTAGTTTTTTAAACATTTTCTGGAGTTTACTGACCTTTTCATGGGTTTCCTCCACATCTTTCTTATCTGTGACGCTAGTTAGGCTTATCTGTTTATTATCTAATCCTAATATCGGGTTGACTCTTTGCAGCCAAGAATTCATCCTCATGTGGGTAGAGTCCCCGCCAGTGGGTGAAAGGCTACGTAACCATTTTTGTTTCTTGCAGGCATATTGATACGTCCTGGTAACCGGGAAATCTTGTATCTTTTTTGGTGTCCAGCCTCCTCCAAACGCTTGTTTTTAGTTTTTATGTATTTTTCCATCCAGCAACAAATACCACCCCGATGGTGAGATTGTCTGCTTCTGACTTTAAACCAGTCGCTTAAAATGCTCTGGTTGGAAGGGGGAGAAAAGGAGACGGTCTGATTGGATGATAGGCAAGGTAACTGGTTTACCTTCAAGCAGATGTACCGGTACCTCTTGGTGACCGGGATGCGTCGCCTCTGTTGTGGTTCTCTCCCCTGTATGTTGGCGTTAACCAGATGTTTGTCCAGCCAGCAGCAGACATCGTCCTGACCGTGAGAGTGTCGGGGATTTAGGTAGTGGTGAACGACGACCTTACCCCCTTCTTTTTCGCTCTCCTCCTCGACCTGCCACCACGCTACGGCGAGGACCAGCAAGAAGACGAGGAGGAGGTGGAGGGGCGAGAGGAGGGTGGTTGTCCCTAAAGGTCAGGAGGTTGTACTCCTCCTTCGGGATGGTGGTAGTGGTGTTTGGAGTCCACAAGCTATGCGGGTTTCCTGGTCCCTGGCACACCAATGCCCTCAAGATTAAACCTAAAAATATGAACAAAAAATTCATAAATATTGACCAAAAAAAAAATATGGAAAAATTACTAAAGGAAGTGGGGGTAACTCTTTTTAATCTTGTCTGCCATTATTACCGGTAGAAGGGATGGTGTGGTGGTGTGAATTGTAGGCCAACGATACTCAGAACTCTTTCACCATCACCACCATCACATCCACCACTACCACTATCATCATCATCATCATCATCGTCGTCGTCGCCGTCGTCATGTACGGCTATGCACAGGTGTGTAAATGCCAGTATTCTCGCTGACACCAACTGTAGGAGCATCGAGGCTACCATTATCCATGAACTACTATGTTGGACTGGCCATGTTACCCGCATGGACGACAGTAGACTACCAAAGGAGTCGATTACTCTACACCGTAATGCTTGGAGGAGCACCACACGAGGTGATAATACTTTCGAGTTAGCCCAACTGCATTCCGAGGCAGACAAGTGCCAACGTCGGAAAGACACTGCCACCGCTCCTCCTGCACTAGATGTAGCCCTCCACACGTGCAACATATGTGAACGACCCTGTCGGTCTCCTAGCGGCCTCTCGAGGACCCTCATTGTATCATAGCTGGATGTTCGTCATAACTCGATTCCGAGTGACAGTAGTGTGTAAATTAGATAGTGAACTCTGGGTTGCGTTGTCCGTAGATTTTGTTCCATTTTTTTCTCTCTCTCTCTCTCCCCTTCTCCCAGTAGAAAAACAGTTAGAAACAACTGTCTCACTTCCTCCTCCTCCTCCTCCCTCTCCACCTTCCTCCTCCTCCTCCCTCCTCCTCCTCCTCCTCCTGATACACCTGATAACAAAATTGTGTCTTAGTAAATAATGCCTCCACTACCTCCACATACCTACCTAATTAACCTGCGTCTGAGATAATTGAGAGATGATTTGTTGCTGTCTGATTCTACTAATTAACGGAGGTATTTATAAAGTTAGCTGGTGTTGTGTTTAGTGAGTCTGGTCTCTCTCCTAACTCCCAACCTAATCTAACCTAACCTAACCTAACCATGACTTCGATAATTACCATAGCCACTATGATTATCCTCCTACCCTTACTACCCCGACTACCACCATAGTTATCCTGACAGGTGTAAGGTCAATCAGGTAGAGGTGATTGCCAGAAAGGGATTATTAACTTGGCGGAGTGTACAGGTGAGAGAGAGAGAGAGAGAGAGAGAGAGAGAGAGAGAGAGAGAGAGAGAGAGAGAGAGCAGAAAAAATGTCATCATAGGTCACAAGACGTCGTCACAGGTCACAACTAGTCATCACAGGTCACCACAGGTCACAACAGGTCATCACAGGTCACATCAGGTCACAGCAGGTCATCACAGGTTACCACAGGTCACCACAGGTCACAACAGGTCACCAGCATCACACCTGCCCTAGTGATAATTGACTAAGGATTACTTGATGTATTGATTGACAGGTCGACACTTGTCTGTCTGTCTGTCTGTCTGATGTGATGTGATGTGATGTTCCTCATGTGGGGTTTATACACAATCTCTCTCACTCTCTCTCTCTCTGGGGGAGGGAGTGTGAAAGAGGGAGTGAGAGAGAGGAAACAGAGAGAGAATGAGTAGTAAGAGTGGGGGATGGAGGGGGAGTATGACAGAGAGGGAGAGAGGGGAGGAGAGATAGGGGGGAACTAGTGTTGGGAGTCATAATATAAGCACCGACACAGAGGCAGCCATTCATCGGCCTGTATCAGAGAAGGTGTCAGCCGCCCATACCTCACTCCTGCCGCCCACATCACACATAAATAACGCCATCGAGTGTGTGTGTGTGTGTGTGCGTGCGTGCGTATGTCCGTGTGTG